GAACATTCTAACTTTCTTTAATTTCTAATCGCCATAAATTACCAGATGCGTAATATTGAATATAAACAGTTTTTTTAAAGGATATAAGGGTGACAAACGAGCACACAGTCCACCTGATGGTAAGTGGATGCTGTAGCCCATAGACATCTACATTTATCCGCGATTAAGAATCAAAATACAGATGCGTTGTCATCCCTGAGGACATAGATGGAATGCCCCATTTCCAGTAAAAAAGGTGTCAAGATCTCTACACTAACGATATAAAACACAGCAGTACTAAGCTGCTATTTTGCGCTGGTATTCTGTGAGAGCGTGGTCCTTCCCCGGTCGAGCCGACCCGTTCGTGCTACAACCATAAGTGTGACTCCACCACGTATAATTTTACATCCATTTCTTCTATACATATAAATAAAATTGAAGTTTCTGTCTATAATATTGAAATAAATGGCTTCTATTAAGCTCAGGGAGTTATTTGTGTGTGTATGTTATTAACACATGAACACAATTTTTTAAACTTTTATCTATAAGTCCATATTTTATATACAAAATATGAAAATAAAAATAAACGAAAAATTTATACGTAAATTGTCTTTGCCGTGTCGTGCCATGGTAGCTCAGATGATTAACGCTCAATGTAAATATAACAGTACGCGAGTAACCCTGGTTCGATCCCCGCCGCTTTTAAGTGCTGATTTACCACGTGCTCGGCGGTGAAGGAAAACATCGTGAGGAAACCTGCATGTATGAGGAATAAGAAAAAAAATATTTCGAAGACATGTGAAGTTCGCCAACACGCAGCGCAGCGCAGCGCGGCGGACACTTCCTTGCCCTAAAACCCTCTCAGAAATAAGGGGAGGCCTGTGCCCAGGAGTGGGACGTATATAGGCTGTAACTAACTAACTAACTAAATGGTCTTTGATTATCCCAAATCTAAATAATGCAATATTTATAAATCCTATCCAGGCGAAGATCGTCACGAGGAAAGAAACGTTTTTTGAATATATAAACCGGATGAGAGAATCTAATATTAATTTCATTTAATCAGTAACGTAATCGTTTATGAGCTATGGAAAATGCCAGAAAGAACCCATGGGCTCCAAAAGATATATTATGATTATTATTATTGCAGTTATATTATGGTTGCAGCACTAATGGGTCAGCCCAACCGCGAAAGAACCACTCTCTTACAGAATACCGTGAAATAGCAGCTCAATACTGCTGTTTTCGTTTGGTGACTGTAGATAGCCGGACCCACCTCAACCGCTCGATCCAGTCGACCCAAACGTCGCAGGCACATCACACAACGACACTAAATCCACACTAAATGGGACAAACACTAATAGGACAACGAATGGGACGCGTCGCACCCGCAGACGGGCACGACGCGTTCCAGCTCACACCACGTACACACCGTACGCCCTGGACGGTTCTCACCGCCCAGACCATCGACCGACACGAGCTGAGCAGTCAGAGACGGGGGTCCGAACTCCCCCCCTCGGACTGCGGTTAGATAGCTCAAAGAGAAACGCCTAAAAAGGCGACATGATGATTGGTAACAATATCATATCATAAACCATTTCATCATCATCCTCACCTCACTGCCTTTTCCTTCTTTAATTAGAGCCCTGAGACAGATGAAGCTGTAAGAGTCGCATAGACTAACAGCACTAACATCTAGATAATAGTAGTAGATAGCCGGAAGACCTTTTATACTGGAACCGAGGCATTCCATCTTAGTCCTCAGAGGTGGAACAAATATCCATTTTGATTCTTAATAAAGGATAGATGTAGATGACCATGGGCCACAGCACCCACTAATCATCTCTTCGGTGGATAGTGTGATCGCTTGTCACCCTTATTCTGTAAATAAATGAAGTTACAACAATCTCCTATGCGCCAGTGTACCTAGATCGGCGTCGGGCAATAGCGTCAAGGTGTAAGTTTGTATTCCGGTCACTCATTCGTATGCTAAGCCAATAATAGTCCTAAAAACAAGTGAGACTCTTTTTAGGAGCCTCTGTGTAGAAGTCCGTCCGGTTAGGTACCTTTTACTTATTTCTGACGTGAAGCCGCTGTGCTTACACTGCTGTGTTTCAGTCCTGAATGGTATTGCGCCAGTACAAGTAAAGATTGTGAGGTATTTCTTAGTACTTAGAGGTGGCAATGTGTGTTTAAGATCAGTTGTCCATGGGCTTATTTTAACGTGGTGAAATCCTCATGTATACCTTTGGATCGGGGGCAACAAAAGATTATGCCCGACTTCTACCGGCTAATTATGGTCACCATCAACGTACACAAGGGGTCCCGGATTCTGTTCTAAACGCAACCAATGCTACCTCGTCCGTGGGCTAGTAGTCATTTACCATCAGGTGGACTGGCTGTAAGTTTCTTTATCAATTCTGTATATTAATAAAAAAGATAACGATGAAAAATCCTTCCTGAGATGGGAAGGGTCTATGACCAGCAGTGGGCCATCAAGGGGTTATAAAAGGGAAGAAAAACTACTCCGCACTCATAGTTATCGTATTCCTTAGAAAAGACTCAAATAGATTCAGATGTGTGCCGCTGAACGGAATATCTGAACGGAAGCTTATAACAATTATACATACATCCGGCATACTTAGCAACTTCCGGCATAGAAATTGCACGATGTTATGCTATGCGATTAGCTTCTTGTCATTTTGTTTTAAATGTATATCATTTTCATTATCATATTTTACGTGGTGAGCCATGCTGCGACTATATTACTGGTATAGCTGTAGCTCGAATGGGTTGGCTCGACCGGGGAAAGACATACCAGCTTAACGCTGGTGTGTTTCGTTTGATGAGTGTAAAAACCGGAGACCCTTTTTACTGGAAACGAGGCATTCTATCTTAGTCCTCATGGGTGAAAACGCATCTGCATTTTGATTCGTTATCGAGGATAGATATAGATGTCTATGGGTCACAGCAACCACTTACGATCAAGTGGAGTGTGTGTTCGTTTGCCACCCTTATACTATCACAAAATCATTATCACTTGGTGGGATGCCTTCTCTTCCTAGAAGTCCGTCTGGATACGTACCGTTCTCATACCTATATCTGCTGCCAACTAGTATTTGCACTACTGTGTCCCGGTCTAAAGGAAGATCTTATAGTGAGCCAGTGTATGACAGACTGTGAGGCATGCCATCTTAGTCCTCGGAAGTATAAACGCATACTGTGTATGAAGTTTTCCGCAGTATTCACAAACCTCAGCCAGCACTTACCTTTGGTGGAATATAAGGTCGTTTTCCACTTAGGTTATTTCAAAAAAAATCATACAATAGAAAATAGGTTTCCCTCATATATAACCACAGTCTAGAGCCACCTGTATCTGTCGATGCAGTTTCATCAGGTCGTCGCTCCATCGTGGGATGATTTCCCAACATTTGCAATACGGTGTTATCCAAGAACCCTTCTTCTCTGATTGTCTGCGAAAACCTTTCTTCCCCGGCTGTCGGTTCTTCGAGCTATATGACCGACCCATTACCACTTTAATTTACTAATCCACTGGGCAATGTCAGCCGGAAGCATTTAAATTCTTTGAAATACCCCAAAAATCGTTACTTTTATAAATGTTATATACAAATTATTAAAGAAAAGTTACAGCCTGTATACGTGAAGTTGACGTTAGAAGAATTGATAAACACATAACAAAAGTAAATGCAAAAATGATATACAAACCCACAATACACAAAAAGTTATCTATACTTTTGAATTAAAAAAATGACTCAAAAGTTATAATAATAAGCTTTCATTTTTTAATCTACATAACTGCTCTTCCAGTCGCGAATTATTTCAAATGAATTTAAAGCAAAATTTATAAATTCTGTGGATACGCTTAGATTTAATCAGATAAAAAAACAAAGAGTCCATTTTATAACTGTTCAAAATGGTGATTATAGCAGTAAATGTGAGTGAAACCACTGTGCCGCATAGAATGGCTATATAATCTCTATTTGGGCTGACAAAGCGAGCGCAAGCACGAGTTTTTTCGACCAATATCAGTAACCTTAGTAAGTAACCGTTACGTCATAAACGTGTAGTAATTTGAGTGCTAAAAGCTATGATAATAAAGAAATAGTTACACTAACGCGGTAAATTAAGTGACGTGTTGTTACACCTTAGCACTAATTTGTAATGACTCGATACTAGAAAAAGTGTTTTTTTTTTTCATAGAATAAAGATGCACGCGCACACAGTCCACCTAGTGATAAATGATTGATGTGACCCATAGACTCCTACATCTATCTTCAACTAATTTAAATGTAGATGCGTTGTCACACCTGAAGACTAATATAGGATGCCTCGTTTCCTGTACAAAAGATCTGTGATTCTCTAAACACACCATACCAAACGCAGTAGCATTATGCTGCTTTTTAACACTGGTATGTAATCCGTGAGAGCATGTTTCTTTTTGGGTCTAATGTGCTGCAGCCATATTGTATATGAATTTACGTGTTTCTACCACGTAAATTCATAAGACTGATTTTCTGACTAGAAGTTCTAGATAAGTAACATTCTGTCACCTATTTCAGCCGTAGACACTGAGTGCAAGGCATTCCATCTTAGTCCTCACAGATGATAACGTATCGATAGCCTATTTCCCATGAAGTTTGTTACGGAAGTGTAGTGACCTCGTTTGAGACTCTAAGTAATAACTAAAAAGAGTGACACAAACACTATAATAAAAAAGCTTTATATTCGCACAACAGTGTAATATATTCTTAAATTAATAGAGCAAGTAACGGCGTATATGTAATTTGCAAACCTATTACTACGTTTATTTTTTCTTTTAAGAATATTAAAAGCAATTAAAGAATTTTAATTAAAACTTTTATTTTTTAGGTGGATAAACACTACCGAAGAATAGTTATTTAAATTTAGCATTAATTTACACGGCAATAACGTTCATACCATTATTTAGTTTTAAATATTTTTGTGACACACTCTAATTATTAAATTTTCCATTGTTTCAGATGTGACTTAAACCCACAATGGCAGCCACGGACGGCCAAGTCGTGGTCGCAGCGTCGCGCTGGTCTGACGAAGGCCATTACTTAAGAGAGTTCGTTGTTAAGAACCGACTGCCAAATGTAGCCAAAATTATCAAAGGCCAGTATGGTGGACTCGGTGTACCCACCTTACCGAGCCCCGGGTTACAGAGCACAGCTTTATTGGTATCTGCGGGAAAGAGAAAAAAGATCATCGCACAGGCAATAAAGTTAAAGGAAGGTAGGCGGATGGTTAGTGTTGGACCAAGACTGGCTATACCGGAAACCTATAAAGGCTATTTCGAATTGTTGAGTGAAGAAGGAAGAGCCGTAAGATGTATAGAATCAGTATCAGAACTGGCGCGAAGAAAACTAGAAGACGGCTGCTTAGTAAGGGAGCCAGTAAGAGTAATATGTGCGAAGGTCGACCTCGATGGAAACGTAACTGCAGATGGCGCAAGAAATTTACCAGCTGGAGAGGTAATCATACCGAAAGGAGAAACATTTTTAGGGAAAAGTAAATATTTAAAATGTACCGACACTAAAGGCGACATGGTTTTGCTGAGTTTGGATCAGAGAGGAAAATTCTCAGCTGTCGCCAAAGAAGAGAACATTAGTGGTGTACACACTGCGAAAACTTTGCTAACAAAACGGCTACCAATGACTGTGAGACTTGTACACGGAACACCTCCTCGAGGGTTGAAAAGTGCCAGTCATTTCGTTCCAGAGCTTAGACTTTTATCTTTTTTCGAAGAAGATCACGTATTTGCACTGCCTTTACAAAAAGAAGGTAATGCATTGATTGCTTTGCCTCTAGCAGCACCATTAAAAATGTTAAGATGCAAAAATGAGGAACAAATAAAAAACTTTATGGAATTCTCGAGACTTGTTGAGAAATGCAACCGTCTGCTAGTAGAAGTTGTTGATCGAATACATGTACTTGATGGAAAGTTGGGCGATCCTAAGAGGCTTCTGAATGCGCCACTACATGCACCACCGCTGATTAAAACGGGTTACTTTCTAAGGCGAAGCATGTCATCTGATACGGCCAACCAACATAAGCACATATCTCGACATAACCACATATATAGTAGCCACAGAGATGAAAATAGCATTCCCGATGAGTATGACGAAATTGACCAGATTTATGATTATGTGAGAGGTTTCGCCCCTCTTCCAAAAAACATCAAAGCCTCATATTCCAATGAGCCTACTCGTCATGAATCTGCTCCAGCATCTCCCGCTGCCACTCCTATTCATATGCCACTAATTACAGAAATAAAACCTGAACCTCCTCCAATTGAAACAATACCAACTAAAAAGCCCTTAAATATTCCAAAAGCAGAAAAACGAACTCGCAAAACTGCCGTAGCGCCTAAAGAAACTCCCATAATAGTTTATAAAGAAAAATGTTCCGTGGCACCGGCTCCAAACAACCTTCCTAAATTATATATTAAGAACAGCGTAAGCAACAACAAAAGTCGAATGGTCTTCAGTCAGAAAAGTCATTCCCCTACCAAGGAGACCCCTAGTCCAGTAACTAGTCCAATAAGACCGTTAACTAAAGGTGATTCCCCTATTTTCAATATACGATATAAAAGTCTTTCAAACATACACCAAGCAATGGAGTTAGATGGTACTTTAGATTCGAGTCATTCAGGTGGCAGGACGTCAGGGGACTCAGGTAATGGACCTAAACTTCCCGAAAAAAGATGTAGAAAACTAAGTAGGCCTAAATCTCTAACTAACCTAGTATGGGAGCTTAAAGGATGTCCAGTAGAAACAAACGAGAAACCAAAATGTAGAAATAAAAACGAAAGCTACAAGAAAATTGGAAACAAACTATCTCTTGGAGCTCAAAAGAGGGTGCCGACGTTATATCTTTAGTTTTTTGGTGAGTAAATTTAATTTTTTTTATGTTCACACATACTTTTAATATTGTCTTTTAAGAATTCCCATTCCAATGCTATTTTACAATGATTTATATCATTATCGACCTCTGATAACCTTAAACAAACATTTCTTATAACTTTTTTGATAACTATATAAAGAATCTATGAAAGTTTACTAAAAAATCCAAACCATTTGTGATTGTGATGGGTTAAGTATAGAATAATCCGACGACTCCATGGTGCAGTGGCTTAGCAATGAGTGGCTGCGCTGGGGGTCGCGGGTTCGAATCCCGCACGGTACAAGTATTTGTATGGCCTACAAATAATTGTTCCGGGTCTGAATGTTTGTCCTTGTGCAATTTATGTTTGTAAACTGCCCCCACGATACAGGAGAAAATCCTAGTGGTAGTATGTATCCTAGGGTAACGTTTTTAAAAAAAAAATAAAGTACATGAGGCTAATAAGTCAAAAGTCAAAAAAAATTTACCAAAAATATTAAGATGAAGACCAATGTTAGTGTACCGAAACACGCAACTAGATATCTAAAAGCCTTTATTTGTATTTTCAACCGACTTCAAAGAAAGAGGGAGGTTCCCAATTCGACTGTTTTTTAAGTGTGGTTACTTCAGAACTTTTTTCTAGGTGTACCGATTTTGATGATTCATTTTTTTATTTGAAAGTACTTTTCATGTAGTCTTATATAAATTTGATCAAAATCCGACTTCGACTGCATTGATGATGTTCTCCTTTTATTTATATTGTAAACTGTTGTATATTTTTTTTAATTTTACCACTTGTATAATTTTATGGACGACAAAACAGTACACAGTTCACTTGGTTTTAAGTTAATGCTGTGGTTCATAAGCAAATAAATCTATCCTCGATTAATGAAACATTTATCATTGTTAGAAAATTATAATGCAGATAGATATATTATCAGCCCTGAGGAAGGGTGGAAAGCCTATGTGATGGGACTCCGTATCAACCCAGGATTTCGTCCGAGTAGGTACTCTATTATCTATTCACACCGATGTCTAGATGTGCGTGCCCAGCTGTGTTCCAGTCTGAAGGGTATATAGAGCCAGTACAATCGCAAGCAGTGAGGAATTCCATCTTAAACCTCAAAGGTGACTACGAGTATATATCTGTAGCCTGCTTTATTGGAGGTCGGTTGAAGGTGTCCATGAGCCGCTGTAGGTGCTTGCCGCTGGTGGATTATTAATTTGTCACTTATATTTTATTAAATAATTCCTCTTTACAAGTAAAAGGTCTTGGATTCTTGTCACACTTACCACACGAAACACAGCTCCTTTATGCTGCTATTCCACTCGGGCTTTGGCGCATGAGCCTTCCTCGGTTGAGCTGACCCATTCGTTCTGCAGTTCTGTAATACGTTGCAGTATGGTTTGGGCACAGGCTTCTTCTCATTTCTTTTAGGGCAAGGAATAGTCCGCCGCGCTGCCCCAATGCGTGTTGGCGAACTTCACATGTCTTCGAAATATTTTTTTTTCTCAGACGTGCATTTTCTCACGATGTTTTCCTTCACCGCCGAGCACGTGGTAAATCAGCACTTAAAATTGCAGTTAACAATTTCATTAGTGCCGGTGGAGATCGAACCCGGGTTACTCTCGTAATGTGACATACAGACAAAAAATTTAACAATGTTTGTTATGTCTTATAATCGTGCAGATAACACCCTGTACATTATAGAAGTCAGTTATTGCAATATAAGAAAAAGACACTTGAATTTAATATAGATTTATAGATTAAGGTTTAGTTTTTGAAGTCGACTATTAAAATTACTGATAATGTGTGTTGGCAAAGTCCAAATAATTACCTTTCCATGCGTTTATAACGTTATTAAGCCTCTCTATTTATGATTTTATTTCTGCTACAATGTAACAATCTCCTTGTTTTATCTATTGCTGTGTTTGCTTGAATAGTTGCGTCGCTGACATTTTGTTAGGTTCACCGATACAACGTACCGTCGTGATATGTCATGTATGAAGCACTTGTTGCTGAGGAAATATTAACAACGATCGCGATATTATATATTAATAACATATAGATGTCCATTCTATCCATCCAGTATAGCATATAGAAGACCACTGGTGACCATAGGCTTCACTTCTAGATTGCCTCATGGGGGATTTTGCCATAATTGCCACGCTTGGCAAGCGGGCTGGCAACCGCAGATTTTATTATTTTGAGTAGTTTTCTGGAAGAAGCTGCTGCCCGTCTCCTGTTTCGTTATCCCTTTGTCGTCTCTGACATCCTCGGTATGATAAGAGTTAGTGGATATTCTCACACCGCCATTACAAAATTAACATATAAATATTTTATACATCTGTAAACATATAACTTTTCGAATTATGTTGAAAGTCTAGTAGATTTGTAGTTTAAGAACTAGGGCTCAATCGGAATCTGTGTTTTTATTTGTGATTAAAAAAGAATTACTTATTATTGGGTTATTTTGTTATATTTTTTTATAGAAAAGGGGACAAACGAGTGTATGAGTAAGTGGCTACCGCCGCCCATGAATTGCAGGTACGGCCGGCCTCTTTGAAAAGAGTAAGCTCTTTTTTTGAAGGTCCCTAATCGTATTGGTCCGGAAAAGTCGCCAGTGGTAAACAATTCCACAGAGAAGTTGTACTAGGAAGAAAACTCCTAGTAAAACGGACAGTGGTGGACCGCCAAGCATCTTGATGGTGAGGATGGTATCGGGAATTTTGATGCGATGTGCGTTCGTGAAATTTGGGGGCTGGAACTAATCCGAACAACTCCTCAGAACACTCCCCGTGGTAGATACGCAAACAGATAGAAAACGCAATGGGTTGCTACATCCCTACGCAGCCTTCCCCTCTAAGTGACCACGAAACTGCGCACTATTCGATATGTCGACGCTGAGGATTCCGATGCTAGCTGAGGCAGCAAGGGGAGTCCCTTCAAACTGAGGAGGTACGACAAAGGAGTTCTTTTTAGCGGTTAACGCGCAAACTTGTGTCTTCTGAGGATTGAATTGGACTACATTTAGTAGCCCCCAATCCGAGACTTTGTTAAGCAAAGACTCGACTTCAGATACAAGTTTGTGGGTGTGAGTGGGCATGGTCTGTATAGCAACGAATGTTACCAGTTTGCAACATATCATTGATATGCAGAAGAAACAGTGTTTGTGATAGCACGCTGCCTTGTGGAACACCAGCGTTAATAGGCTTGTCATCAGAGCATGGACCGTCTACTACGACCTTGATGCTCCGATTAGAATTTATTATTCTTAACTTGCGGTAAACACAGAGTTAGCACTAACTTTTAAAACAATAACATACCGCAGTGTAATATATAATATATAGTGTGTGTAATATATAATGTATATAGTATGTGGACGTCAGTCTTTTCGTCCGACTACAATCTATGTATGTTCAAGCCAAAACGAATATTTTATTTGTTATGATAAAACAGTGAGATTTGCCATCTAAGGCTATCTTACCCACTCCCACCAGGTGAGATTTTAGGTTACCGCGACAAAATAAGCACGGATAGGTTTCTGTTTTCGCATGGGCATAGTTGCAAGGAAATGCTAATCATTATATCTACCTACCAAATCCACTGGGCTTTCATATAAACATTGCTAAACACCCCACCCCTCCCCTTAACCTTCTAAACCTCATAGCATTTTTAAAATATCTTATGTTCTTTCTCGTTATAAATGTACCAAATTTTATTTTGACAATCATAATTGAAAGTCCTATGAAAAAGTTTCGGACTAATCTGAAACGACATTGGAACGTAATGTTAAGGATTAATGATGAACTGGAGATGATGGAATGGACTGATTCATAAAGAAACGATCGTTTGGAAAATAGAAACAATAGATAACACCACAGCTGCCTAAACCTTCTTCAAGTTAATCTCGTAACGGAAAAGACCCAACAAACGGTGTAACAATATTTACACAGCTTTCGGATTCCATTTACAATTTTTAGGAAGATCTGAGGAGTAGAGGCAAGAAAATATATTGGGAAAACATCATTAGAAGGGAGGCCAGAGACAGAACGAAATAGAAGGATTATTGAGGAAAGCCAAAATCCGCAATACACCACACACACACACACACGTATAAATATATATATATATATATATATATATATATATATATATATATAAATTACGTGTTACGTTGTACCGTGTAGTGGCGGTTGAGAATATCCACTACCCCATATCTTCCCGGTTGCCAACCCGCTTGCCAAGCGTGGCAACTATGGCAAATATCCCCCCCATGAGCAACGACGCAAATAAACGGCCCCCAGTCCCCGGCGGCTCCGCTATTCCTGGCTACGATGGCAACCATGGTAACGGCGGGGCAGGGGGGTGCTAAGCATCTACGGTGGAGGTTCGGTTGCCACCTACGACGACTCGACCTGGCAACGTATAACGCACGCACCCTGAGGACTGACGAGAAGATACTGGAGCTGGAAAAAAGAGAAATACAAGTTGCGCTGGCATATTATTGAATTATCTGAGGTCCAAAGAGAGGGGGTGGACACGGTAATCCTCGAGTCCGGCAACTTGTTCTATCACCGGGAGGGCGACCATCTCTCCCAAGGAGGTGTCGGATTTATCGTCCACAAGTCTCTCTTCAACAACGTTGTAAAGATTAGGAGTGTGTCGACGAGGGTCGCGTACCTGATACTCAGAATCACCAAACGGTATTCGCTGAAGGTCATACAGGTTTACGCACCACCCTTGGCACATTCCGATGAGGAGGTGGAAATGTATGAGGATATTTCTAGAGCCATGCATTCCTCCAAATCCCACTACACGGTGTTGATGGGAGACTTCAACGCAAAACTAGGCACAAGAGAAGGCGGTGAGCTGAAGTTAGGGAAATTTGGAGTAGGGCAACAGAACCGTAGGGGCCAGCAGCTGGCTGACTTTATGGAGAAAGATGGACTCTTTATGATGAACTCTCTCTTCCAGAAGTGACTCCACAGGAAATGGACCT